AATATTGTATATACGTGTGCATTGTACACAAGTACAGTTAAATATATATATATATATATATATATATATATATATATATATATATATAGTGAGAGAGAGAGAGATACTACAACCATGCTACAGTCGTCTCTTGTCCGATTGATCTTCCCACTTATAATCATCTACTTTCCTGCAATTTGTACCGCTATCAGGAAAATCAGCGCGTTACCTCCACGCCGACCTCTAAATCTCAAAGCTGTTATCTTCCATAACTTTCAAGAACGTCGACCATGCCTCGAGGTCCTCTTCCTTCATGAGGGTGGAGCACACTAACAGTTGGGTCCGTTGGTCACACATCCAAACGCGACGACAGCCTGTTGACTCAATGGAGGGGAGTAGATGTCTGTCTCTCCCCATGCTCCGGCCAGCACACGTTACCTCGCCCGGTGGTTCTGATTGGCTAACAAATTCCCGCCACCGGACGAGCCATACCGTGCTGACCGTTAACGACCTCCATGGTTGTTAACCTCGTTCTTCCTGTAATAATGAACGTATGACTTAAATAATCGTGCCTTTATGCGATGAAATAACACGATACGATATATCGTAAGAGTTGATATGCAGTCATATGCATATATGACTGCATATCAATAAGTTGTCATATGTCATAAGTTGCAGAGAGTTGCATGCACTCTCTGCAACTTGGGTGGTGTTAGCAGATGCCAAAACGGAACGTAACTGTCAGAGAAAAGCGCCAAGCCATTACGACTATATAACACTTGAAATGGGTCAGGATAAGGATTTAGTATGGGACGGGGGGAAAGGAATGGTGTCCAACCACTTGGACGGTCGGGGCATTGAAACCCGACGTGCAGGAAGCGGGACCGTCGCTCTACCGTCCAGCCCAAGTGGTTAAGAACAAAGGCAACTGCAGAAGACCTATTGGCCCAATGTAGTTGGGTGTAGATAACTTTTACTTTCATTGTTATTTATATCATTACAAAGGAAAGGAGGAGCTGTCATATAATATACACACTTTCAACACATATCTTGTTTAAAAACATTGTTTATTGTTTGGATGTTCATCACACAGATGACAAAAACACTGACAGACACACATTTAACACGCACTAAAAGAATAACAATAGTTAATAATACAAATGTAAATTTACATAAACATTGATAACGAAAATTTCATATAAATTAGTATAAAAATTATTAATTAGTAAAATATCAAATCAAATTAATTTATTCATTGTCTTATAATACACAAGTTGTCACATACAAGATGTGTATAATTTATTTAGCTAAAATGTAAATACACTTCTCTACTTACATATGATTGCATAAGAAAGATTCATTGTAAACACTAGTTTATAGTTGGCCGTTGAATTTTTACTACAATTAAAAGACCTATGTGTAAAACCAATCAAGTAATGTATTATTTTCTCAAAATGTATTAATAATGAAAGATCAACTTGAAAATGTATTCAATAAGTAATCCCAGTGTTGTTTCTTCTTGTTAAAGGGTTGATCTCACTGGTGATACCAGACCAACCCGCCCCTCATAGTTGTGGAGGGAGGCAGCGAGCGTAGGACGCAGGTGTTGACAACTTCACCAATACCAGCCCCGGAGCAGCAACTGGACATCGACTAAATCCTCAAGTTTGGAAAACGTGAACCTCAGCCTCCCACCGTGTTACAGCCTTGTAGCTCACCGGTAGAGGGTCCCACTGCCATCACGGTGGGCCCTTGCCCCATCGAGCGACGGGCGGCAGGGCACAAAAATCAACGAACTTCAGCGAACAGCCCAAACTGTCAGTCCAGGTTGAGTAAGACACTTTCACACTTCACGGCCGCTTCGCCAGTTCTCCTTCTCATCTCTCGTATAGGCCAGGATAACAGCACACGGCGTTAATGAGCAGTTGTGTCCTTAATCCCGCCTCCTTGTTTAACAATGTAAAACCACTACACACACAGCCCATCCCTTTTGCTTTATCCCCAGTCTCTCTCGCACTCTCGCTCTCCCACGACTTGGTAATGGTCCACGACGGACTGAAACGTGGTCGTCTCCTCACCTTGTGGTGTGGGGTCTGGTCATCATATCTTCAGCCACGTTACTGTGGCTCATCGTCTGCATTTTATGTAATGTGTGGGGTTGAGGTGTTTACACTCGTCCATGCTGCGGCCGAGCCCGTAAACCCATTCAGGAATTGTTTGGTCTTTAGCCTCGGCCGCAACTTTGAAGAACATGGCCCGACGACGGATACTGGATAAACAAGGAAACATTGTGGAAATTATCCAAGACAATCCGTCAGAATTACGATTATACTTTTTTTTGGCTACATTGGACCGAAAGAGTTTGGTGAAAGAACACACGAAGAGCGATACAACTGCACCCAGAGCTGCTGTCAGGTAATGTTCACTTTCATGCACCAACAACAGTGCCTTCCCACACGTGACGCCACACGTAGGTGTCAGGTGTATATGTTCATAGCGTCACTTGTGAGTATTCGCTTGGTTTGTCAATGTTGGGATTCGTGAGTTCACCCAACCATCTACTAGCCAGACACAACGTTGTTTAACCTGACAGATCGAGTGACTGGCACATTACCCATTGCGTCACACCACTGAACATAACCTCATCTGAAACAATAATTGAATTTACAACAATATCCCAACTTCAGAACCACTGGTAAAGCTCTTTATTAAAGTGATGTCTCAGACATTTCAAGAGGTAGGATTATGCCTGTTGGGTATAGGCCTACACACACACACGTCACCTACCCCAACAACACGTCAGCACAAGGGGTAGGCCTATATACACATGTCATTTACCCTTCTTACTCTTAACATTGTCACTGCGAGGGTAGGCATATATATATATATATATATATATATATATATATATATATATATATATATATATATATATATATATATATATATATATATACGAATATTACCAGAATTATTGGAGGTGTTAGTCCTCTTTCCTTCCATGTATTTGTGTTAGTGTTTGTGTCGTTGTCATGGGCTGGTGTAGGGTTTAAGGCCTTGTAAGTGCTAGAAGTTCATGACGGTCCATAACACCTCACAAACAGTCCATTAAACTCCTCGGAAGGAAATGTATTGAGCTCGGTTTCACTCTCCACAAACAAGACAAAAGCAAACTCTCATCACAAGAGAGGAGAAAATGAAGAACTACAAATTAATGGTGTAACACTTGAATGGGTTGACCACTATCGGTACCTTGGCGTCACTGTCGGCTCTAACAAGGGGAAGAAAGAGGAGCTCAATCAACTCATAGGAACATGCAAAAGTCAACTCAGGGCACTGAAAGCTATGACCTGGAATGAACATGAAACCTCTATTGCCGTGCTTAAAATGATGTACACAGCCTATGTGCGCTCCGTCATAAACTATACCGCGCCAGTTTTGTGCACTTATTCCCAAAGCGATATGAAAAAACTTGAAGGGATACAAAACGAAGCCATGACAATTATTCTTGGAGTCCCAAGAACTGCCGAAACATCTAATCAATGAGAGTTGTCCCTCCCCAGTGTTAAAAGCCGAATTCAGGAACTGAATGCTAAACTTGCAATTAAGATAGCCAGAGATCTCCATTACAATGATGTTGTCAAGAAAAACCTGAGTTCTGTGCAAACATCACAGAAACATCTTCTGTTTCTGGGGAAACAGAAGCAAAAAATGGCATCACAGATCAGTCTGCTACCTCGAAGAACTTCACCTGCTTGAGCAAGCCCGTGAGCTCCTGCCTGTTGAGAGGTTACCTCCCTGGGAGGATGACTCATGCAAGATCATCATCAATGAAATGGCAACGAACAAGTCGAACATGATAGCTCAAGAAATGAGGCACAGTTATCTGGAGGAAATCTATAGAGAAGCCGGAAATGAGTTAGATCAAATCTACACTGATGGGTTATCTAACCCTGTCAATGGCAGGGCTGGTGCAGCATACACTGTAATTAGGAATAATGCCTTACAATGCGGACATGAAGGAAAAGCCCGTATTGAAAACTATGCCTCTTCAACACAAGCGGACCTAACTGTTATGGCGTTAAGATTCCTTGAACGAAGCACTAACGGTGCAGTGATCTGCAATGACTCTAAAGCAGTGTTACAAAGCCTTACTAAAAATCGTGCAGAAAATCTTGCGATAGTCGCTGAGATCAAGAGAGCTGTACTAACCAATCAAGGAAGTATCATCAAGTTTCTGTGGATCCCCTCCCATGTTGGAATATGTAGGAATGAACAAGCAGATGTGCTGGCTGTTGAAGGCGCTGAAGGAGACCATATTGAATACTTCATGCCCAAGACTACTCTACAAGTTAGAGGTATCATGAGGCAACATCACCGTGACAAGGTTACTGAGGAAAGGAGGATAGAAGAACAAATCAATGAATCTGTACGATGGTACTACATGATTGCAGCTACCAATCCCAATCATTATGGACGAAGAGGAGGTGGCCGCGGAAGAGAATCAGTAATAACAAGAATCGGTCTTGGGTACAAATATCCATGGAGATTCGGAATAGAAACAACAGATGAGCAGTAGAGTTGCAAAACCTGCGATGAGAGTGATGGACACCGCCTTGACCACTACCTGAGAGAATGTGGACATCTAAGAGTCATTAGAAATAGGTGTAGAATAATAAACCCCACATTGTTTGAGTTAGGAAAACAGTATTTGTCAAATATTGATACTGTTCTTAAAAGATTCCCCCATTTTGCACCAGCAAGATAACATAAGATTTCAAGGGTTGACAGATGTTAATCTTCTTGTTTGATGAGTTGTTCACTTGAGGCAATAAAGCAAGTCCCAGCTGTGTCTGGGTACAAGTGACAGGATGAACAACCCAGCGGGTTTTCTTCCTATTGGGGAGTGTTGTACATGCTGCTGTGGCGGTGTGTCCACTCACAACATGAGTGGCGCTGCCCAATAAACTCGCCCCTCGGGGCAAAATTAAAAAAAAAAACTTACTTAATAACCAACCAGCCTTTACACCCTCATTATCCACCTTATCACCACACGATTGATTTAACTGATAAAGACTAAGCCACACACAAGAGGTGGCACGGGCATGAATAGCCCGTAAATTACCACCACACATACCAAACAACCTCTTAAGCCCACTGTCAATCATGTTAAAACCTCCCACTTTACACCCACCTAGCCCGCCCACTAGACCTCCCAGCCCACGTACCCCACCTGATCCAACCCACTTATGTCATGACTCGCAGCCTTCACACGCATCCCACCTGACACACCACTACAGCACCACTGAGGAGCCTCGTGCCAGGTTCCAGGAACCTGAAATGAGGGGCTGAAATGGAGCGTAAAGCTTCCCTACCCCTCAGGCTGCCCGGAAGCGGAGTCTTGAAACCCTGCGGCTTCCCAAGCGGGAGTTGTTTGATGTATACGCCTTTTGGAATGGTTGAGTCAAGACCTAACCTCAGCAGCTCCCAACCCTTGCTCTCCATCCGCACGCACCCGTCCTGACCCCATCAATGCACTACACAGGACCCCCCATCAACGCACTACACAGCACTCCCCCACCAACGCATTACACAGGACCCCCACCAACGCACTCCATCATGACCCACTTCCCGCCACCTCCACCACACACCTCAACATAACCCCAGCTGATCCCTTCCACTACACCCAGAAAGTGAGTTTCATGGCCCCTGAGGCATCGGAGATGATAGGGGTGTCCATGATGCTGGTCTGGCGGATGAGAGGGCGGGCTCTGGCCCCCAGAGACCCCAGGCGCTGCAGGGGAGTGGTCTCGTCGGGGCCCCCAACACCCTCCAGAGACGAGCGGTGGGCCCGAAGACGATCCACGCTTTTTAGCTCCTCTTTCTCCTCTTCTGTTTCGCTGTTTTTGTGCTGCAACCTGTTGGAGCACAGAGATAGTGGTGGTGAGAGGTGGTGATGGTGGTGGTGAGAGGTGGTGATGGTGAGAGGTGGTGATGATGGTGGTGAGAGGTGGTGATGATGGTGGTGAGAGATGGTGGTGGTGAGAGGTGGTGATGATGGTGGTGATGATGGTGGTGATGGTGGTGGTGAGAGGTGGTGGTGGTGAGAGGTGGTGATGATGGTGGTGAGAGGTGGTGATGGTGAGAGGTGGTGATGATAGTGGTGAGAGGTGGTGATGATGGTGGTGAGAAATGCAGGCGATGAGTCACAATAACGTGGCTGAAGTATATTGACCAGACCACACACTACAAGGTGAAGGGACGACGACGTTTCGGTCCGTCCTGGACCATTCTCAAGTCGATTGTGAATGGTCCCGACAATCGACTTGAGAATGTCCAGGACGGACCGAAACGTCGTCGTCCCTTCACTTTCTAGTGTGTGGTCTGGTGAGAGTTGGTGATGATGGTGGTACTGGAAATTATAAGACCATCTACACGTAAATAAGCGAGCATAAGGTGGACTATTATTAATATAAATATGTTTTTCATTCACACCTTGAAAAACACAGCTAATATCAAACTCCGAACATGGCATTACTAAGAACAGTTATGTTTACAGCATTTATTCTCATTTGTTCATGAATATTTCAATTAATCGATAAGGGAAAATATTATACCATTATATGCCAAGAATGTGTTGCTGCAACTCACGAATCACTGATTAGGAAAATAAGGGCACATGGTATTGGAGGATTATTTAACAATGAATTAGGGCACGTTTATTTTTAAGGCAACAGGAGGACAGCTTAAATATCTTGTATAACAGATAGAGAGGAGAGGAGAGGAGAGGAGAGGAGAGGAGAGGAGAGGAGAGGAGAGGAGAGGAGAGGAGGGGAAGAGGCGAGCGACTTACTCCTCCGGCACGCAGGCCCAGCAATCCTTCCAGGCAAAGTCCTGACCGAAGGCCTCCCCCTCGGCCATGGTGTTGGGCAGCTTCTGCTGCAGCGTCTCCGGCAGGCGGAAGCTGAGCACGCCGCCGACGGCAGACACCACCCCCATGATCAACAAGGGCAGCACCAGCATCTCCGTCCCCTGGCGTGTGGGAGAGAGAGAGACGGGTGAAGATGCTGCGGGAGGAATGTCTTTCACTGGTTGGAAAACACTGATAATTATATATGGAACAGATGAGATTAGAACAAAATAACGAAAGGCTCTCATGTGCCCTGTGTGCTCATGTGCTCGGGATTACAGAGTATCCAGTGTACTCATGTGCTCGGGACCACAGAGTACCCAGTGTGCTCGGGACCACAGAGTACCCAGTGTGCTCGGGACCACAGGGTACCCAGTGTGCTCATGTACTGGTACCACAGGGGCCGCTGGTACCATACTCAGAACCTAAGTCCCCACAAGAATTATATACGGCCAGGAATGGCATAATGCTCTAAGCTTAGTATTATGACAGAAGGCTGATGTCATTATACTCGAGAACCTCGATGCATTTATAAAACCATTTCTTAAAAGATGTGCGTGTGTTTTATTTCTGGTTCCATGTCTTGCCTTGCTTGTGGCGGTGCCGTCAGGAGCAGGAGGAGGAATAAGCGTAGGACGTCAAGGACAAGAAGGTGAGTAGTAGGTACGGGAAGAAGTGGAGATGGAGAGACAGAAAGAATGGAAGCAGGAGGTGAAGAGTAAGAAAGAGGAGGGATGGATGAAGCCTCAGGTACAGGTTGTTGTCATTATCTGTGGCAGGAGAAGCAAGAACAGGAAGAAGGACGGTAGGAAGAAAAGGAGGACGAAGATAAGGAGAATGAGAAAAAATGAGTTCAAACAGGAGAGGAAAATGAATGACGGGGAAGGAGAAGACAGATGAAGAAGACACCGAGAAAGAAGCGGATGAGAAGAAATACGTGGAAGGTAAAGTACGATAAAGTGTAATAGAGCGAGGGGGGAAAAAAGAGAAAGAGGGATAATGATTCATTCACATAAATTTTGGATATCTTTTGGGGATATCACCATTTATACGGAAACACAGCGAGGGAACCAGTCTCCACAGCACTGTGATGATCACCACCTTCGTCATCCAGCGACTGTTTTTACCTCTCAACACTTTGGTGTTAAGCGGTAAGTAGCGCTAGAGCTAGCTACTAGTAGCTAGTATAACTACACCCTAGCGCTAGGGTGTAGGTCTTGCTAGAACAGCAAAACCTACACCCAACAGTGTACCCCCATATTTTTGCCAAGTTCCCTAGTCAAGCAAGGCAGGTGCAGTCCTGTGAGATCCTAGTGGTGACTGACGAACTTTATAAGGTACTTCCTGCCACACTGGACTGTGACTGGTGGACGAGCAGTGTGCGTCTTGCTGCCACACACGACTGTGACCCAACCACACCCCCTCTAATCGCAGGCTTCCACTATTTACTGCGATTAGTGAACGAGCCACAGTGCCACTCACCAGATAGTTAATGAAGGGTATGATGATCAAGCCGAGGCCCCCGACGTACGCCGAAAACCCGATCCCGACGCCCCGCACCTCCGTCGGGTAGAGTTCGGCAGCGAAGGGGTATATGATGAGGAAGGCGGCGGACTCGGCGAACTTGGCCACCAGGTACAGCACCAGAGTTGCCAACGACGCTCCTGTAGGGGTGAGAGGATGGCCCACAGCTGTTGTTGTTGTTTTATAAAAAAAATAAAAAAATAAAATGTTTATTCAGGTAAGGTACATACATACAAGTGATTTTACATAAATTGGTCGATTTATAGATGGAGCTAGTGCATACAATGCCTAAAGCCACTATTACGCAAAGCGTTTCGGGCAGGAAAAACATTAATGACTAAAACTTAATACTAATTGAGTATAAAGAATAAAATGTGTTGAGAACAAATAAAAATAAAGATAAAAAAGGGGGAAACATGGCTGAAAAAGCTGCACAAATACAATTAGGTCGACAAACAGCGTTGTTATAGATTCAGCTACTCGGAACAAAAGTTCCAAGTAGCACGGGCTATGGTGAGCTAGTTTAAAGAATCTGTTTATAATAAAGTAGAACATTTTAGCTAATTAGCTGCAGGTTTAAGCGTCTAAAATGTTTTTTTCGTGTACCTAAAAGTACCTAATTTAAATTTCATCTTCGTAGTTTCCTACACTGAGCTTTAAATTTGCTCTGTATCTAGTGTTACCCAATTTCCCACTCTTTATGTACTTAATCCAAACAACTTTATCATGCAGTCGATTGTCACAATCGACTTGAGAATGGTCCAGGACGGACCGAAACGTCGTCGTCCCTTCAATTTCTAGTGTGTGGTCTGGTCAACAACTTTATCATTGTGTTCATTGCTGTCTTCTTTTATGTGCTAGCCATATGCTGTATTGTGCCTGCTAAGTTTTGTTAAACTACCATTCAAGCTGTCATTGCAATCATTCTGAGCTATCTATGTGCTTTAATATACCTATAATTTTTCTCTCATCTTTTATTTTTTTTTCATGCTACGTAACTGTTATCATTTTTATAAATTTTGCAAGTATTTACCTACTTATAAGTTTCTTAGATTAAGGACTTGCCCGAAACGCTGCGCGTACTAGTGGCTTTACAAGAATGTAATTACTATGCTATGTATCCTCACAATCCCAATGTACCTTCTTGTATATAAATAAATAAATAAATAAATAAATAAATAAATAAATAAGTGTAATTATTTATTGAAGCTGGGGCCTATCAAGATTTTACTTATAGCCGAAAGCATAAGATAACATTTAGAATTTCTTGAAAGTTAAAACACGTAAAAATTTCTAACTAAATCAAATTAAACTAAAAATAACAGCATTTAGACCGTCAATTGCTGTATTGGATCGATAAACAATTAGCTCTGTTGAACCGAATCGCACTGTGCCTTGTCCTCCGACTCACCTTCGGGCATGAGGACGGTGCAGATGGAAAATAGGCCTCCGAGAATCATGCCCACTCCCAGGATCCAGCGCCGACCCCAGCGGTCCATCACGACCCAGCAGAGCAAGTAGGATGGTATCTCAACGGCGCACGAGAGAAAGAATGACAGGTACTCGTTGTCGCCCATGGCCGGTCCGTAATAGCTTAGTCCTACATATACAGTTTCATTGGCAAACCTTTAGAGAAAACGGAAGAAATTAAATGTTGTTTAGGGTAACTAACGTAATATTAAAACTAGCTTTTAACGGAAAATGAAAAATTCAACTAATTTTGGGGTAACTCTTTGATTATTTTGACGTAATGAAACCGGGCTACTGAAACTTTTATACCCAACTAATATATTCTTTGATAGCTCTTAATTTATTTATCTTAGAGTTAATCGTATTTGTTTTAATGTTCATTTACTTTGAAAAAAACGAATACAGGTTTCGTTTTCAAGGCATTCGAGGCCCTGATTTGAACTATATAATGCGTTCCTATCTCAGTGACAGACACCAATATGTAGCCATCAATAACATAACCTCCCCCACTGTACCATTGACAGTAGGAGTGTCACAGGGCAGCATCTTAGGATGTTGTTGTTGTTGTTTAACATTCAGCTACTTAGAACGAAAAGTTCTCAGTAGCACGGGCTATGGTGAGCCCGTAAGCTATCTTAGGATTGTTGTTGTTTAAGATTAAGCTACTGGGAACACAAAGTTCCAAGTAGCACGGGCTATGGTGAGCCCGTAGCAGACTTACCTGGCATAGGAGCGAGGCTGTAACTGTATCTTAGGACCTCTCCTATTTGTTATATACTTCAATGATTTGTCAAATTTTTCTAACATTCTTAAACCAATACTATTTGCTGACGATGCTACCTTCATCTATTCTGACCCCCTAACCCCCCCATACTAAATAATGTTGTCAATAATGAATTAACAAAAAAGTTCACTCATGGATGTCAACCAACAAACTTGCACTAAACATAGAAAAGACCGTCTACATTTTATTTGGTAGTAAATTATCAAATAAAATTTAACTTAAAATAGACAATGGTAACATTAGCAATCAAAATGAGGGAAAGTTTCTTAACCTACACATAGACAAGAGACTGAACGTCAGCGCCCACATACAACACAGCCAAAAAAGTCTCAAAGACGGTCGGTATACTTTCTAAAATTAGATATTATGTTCCTCACTCGCTCTCCTCTCATTATACTACGCACTAATCTATCCCTATCTTACATATGGTATCTGTGCAACTCGTTCTCTTACTTGCTTATAGTCAATATTGGCTTATTTAATAAGTGCATATGTGACATACTAATTGATTGTAAATATTTTAGTTTACCTTGAAAAGCTTCATAGAAAACACCGACCTCACCTAACCTTCTTAGTATGTTAAGATAAGCATCTTATTGCTTCTTAATTACAATTATTACTTAACCTATACCGTTGATAGGTTAAGTAATAATTGTAAATAAGAAGCAATAAGATGTTGACCAGACCACACACTAGAAGTTGAAGGGACGACGACGTTTCGGTCCGTCCTGGACCATTCTCAAGACTTGAGAATGGTCCAGGACGGACCGAAACGTCGTCGTCCCTTCAACTTCTAGTGTGTGGTCTGGTCAACATACTTCAGCCACGTTATTGTGACTCATCGCCTGCACAAGTAATAAGATGCTTATCTTAACATACTAAGAAGGTTAGGTGAGGTCGGTGTTTTCTATGAAGCTTTTCAAGGTAAACTAAAATATTCACAATCAATTAGTATGTCACATATGCACTTATTAAATAAGCCAATATTGACTGTAAACAAGTGCGAGAACGGGTTGCAGGGGTTCAACCACTGCAAATTACCTCAAGTTAACATCACTCAGCAAAAATCTGCTATCAGAACTATAACAAACTCTGTCTTCAGACAACACACAGCCTCTCTGTTCAAGTCCCTCAACATGCTAAACATACACTCACTCCACACATTCTTATGTGCTATTAACATGTACAAAACCTTGTTCCTAAATGCTAATCTTGATCTGAAACTTTTCCTTGATAGGTGTAATAGAACCCATGAGCACCACACCAGAACAAAATATATTTTTGATATCCCCAGAGTTAAACTAAATCAGTGCAAACACTCCAAGCAAATAAAAGGGCCCACCAGTCTTTGGAACTCGCTCCCTGATGAATTAAAAAATTGTCCAACCTGTGCCCTGTTGAAAAGTAAAACCAAAAAGTACCTAATTTCATCCTCATAGTGTCCTACCTTGTGCTTCAAACTCACACTGTACTCGCACTGTACAGTGGTACAGTGTGTACAGTGGTACACACTGTACCACTGTACCCAGTTTCCCAATATTAGTACTTGAGACATATATCTTCGCCAGTGTAATCACCTATCATTTTATATTGTGGTTAATTATTGGTATAAAACCTTGCTACAATGTACCTTTTCATCTTACCTCACATTGGCAATTTTTTAACTAGATTTTTTCCTCTAGCAAATTTGTAATATAATATACATAACACTCGCCAGCGGTAACTCATTTAAGCTGAACACAAAATAAAAGAATCATTGGAGGTAGAGGAGCCAGGAGGCCGTCACTACACCGAGGACGGGGCCACTCACCAGACCATGGTGACGAGGACCACCTTGAGGCGCAGGTTGGGGGTGCGACACAAGGTGAGCAACCCGGAGCTGGTGTGGAGCTGCGCCGAGCTGGTGCTGAGGGCCTGCTGCGCCAGCATGCGCTCCTGTCGCAGAACAGTGGCCACAGGTTAAGTTCACAGCCTTTGTGCGAGGCAGAGCAGGAGGAGGAGGGGAAGGAAGAGGCAGAGAAGGAGGGGAAGGAAGAGGCAGAGGCAGAGGAGAAGGAGGAGGAGGAAAAAATGTTAATATTCAAATGTTAGTAGTTTTTGTTAATAGTTAATGGACTATCTCTCACAATGTGAGAGATGGTCGGTGTGTCGCTAAGGAGGGACACGAAGTTTGGGTAGAACAGAAAGACCGGAATTGGAATTATGGTCAAAACGTGTCAATAAATCTCGTTTTCCGACTGTCAATACGGTATTTATCGCGTTATTAGGATGTATAAGCCTAGATTAGGCTGTGTGGGCTCGTTTGGGCTAGGTTAGGTTAGTTTCAACAAGTTTTAAAATCCGTTGACGAACCTTCTTGTGTACGATGCGACTTGTATCCATGGCGGGAGAGAGAGGGGGGGGGGAGGGTCTGGTATAAGGGAGTGGAGAGACGGAAGGTAGTGGAGTATGAGGGACTGTGGGAGTGGAGGGTACTGGAGTAGGAGTATGAGGGGGTGGAGGAAAGGGAGGCACAATTAGGAGGTAGTGGTGGAGGCCAGCCAGGCTGTGACAGAGGGCAAGGTAACCCGGAGGCCACTTAAGAGGGGAGGAGAGCCGTGTGGGGAGTGGCCGTGTGGGGAGTGCCCGGGTGGGGAGTGCCCGGGTGGGGAGTGCCCGTGTGGGGAGTGCCCGGGTGGGGAGTGCCCGGGTGGGGAGTGCCCGGGTGGGAAGTGCCCGGGTGGGGAGTGCCCGGGTGGGGAGTGCCCGGGTGGGGAGTGCCCGGGTGGGGAGTGCCCGGGTGGGGAGTGCCCGGGTGGGGAGTGCCCGTGTGGGAAGGGACACTGTTAAGGTGTGCTGAGAAGTGACGGACCTTCAGGAGGGGCATCTATCATAAACAACACCCTTAAGGTATACTACACAAATAGCAGAAGCATCACAGGAGCAATAAACTAGTAAGTAATTATCAAAAGAAAGCACCAAGCAGACTATGTACCAATCAACTAGTTAAGTACACATGTGTGAGTGCACACCAAACGAGTAGACGTCATTGTAACCGCTGAAGACCGTGTTGGGAAAGTCAGACTAAACATATGGCCAACACTCATGAGAAGATATTTGACCTATCATCTTCTCTTTACTAAGTAATGTGCGGTGAGGTGTTGGGCGCCCGACCGGCTGACCTGCTCACATCAGTGATGGAGTTGACTTCTTCACACAGAGAAGAATGTCACACGTATCAAAATGTGAGTCGTTAAAAAGACTTGAGATGGTTTCCATTTGTCGTTCTATGACTGCTTTGAGCCTCTGCGAGTCACATGCTGATTTTTTAACTGGTAATCCTTCAATGATGATCTTTAGCCTTGATTCTTCCCATGGAGGCGGCTGCCGAAAGTGTTGATATGGTCTATCTTCTCCTTTGTTTTTAATGGTCCATTTCAAGTCCACTTTCTCTAGAATCTTCACTAGATTATCCGTCCATGCACTTGTTCTGTATTGAAGGTTTCTCTGAAGCAATCTGTGTAGGCTGTCTTTGACTGATAGTCTGGCGGTGGTTCCAACAAGTTTTGCTGTTATTGTGGCTATCCTTTGTTGGATCCTGTTTTCTAATGCTGGTAAGTTGGTTTCCATTCTTAGATTCTCTTGAAGCGTCTATATAGGTGCTCCCAGCATTGTTCTGAGGGCATCATTTTGAGACACTTCCAGTTTCTGCCATTGGTTATCACTGAGGGATGTAAGAGCAGGAGCAGCATAGTCGATGAGTGACCTAACTGCTTGAACGTAGTACATTTTGAGTACTGGTAGAGATGCACCATCTCTAAGACTTGTCAGGGAGCGCAAAGCTGAGTTTCTGGCTTTACAACGTTGCCGAAGATATTCAGTTTCTTGAGGGAATTTCAACTGGCTGTCTATCATGACTCCTAAGTTTTGAAGAGAGGTAACCTATTCAATTTCATGTCCTTGTATAGCGAGTCTGATGTCTTGAGTTCTCATTTTAACGCCCATTGCTTTGGTTTTATTCCTGTTTATTTTCACTGCTATGATGGGAGTTGCATTTAGGAAGGATGGAATAGAGAAGCACAGTCAGGCGGAGACTGCGGAGGTGTATTTCGGATGGGAAGGGAAAGTCTATACATGTATCAGGTGACCTCAGCATATCACCAGCAGCAATCCTCCCTCCAGCTTTGTCACTCTGATTCTGGGAGCCCTCAAGCGTGTCAGGAGGGCTTGTGCAGTCATCTTTATAAACTACAAACACCACAACCACCATTATTGATACCACCACAACCAAGTGGGGCCTCGTAGCCTGGTGGATAGCGCGCAGGATTCGTAATTCTGTGGCGCGGGTTCGATTCCCGCACGAGGCAGAAGCAAATGGGCAAAGTTTCTTTCACCCTGAATGCCCCTGTTACCTAGCAGTAAATAGGTACCTGGGAGTTAGTCAGCTGTCACGGGCTGCTTCCTGGGGGTGGAGGCCTGGTCGAGGACCGGGCCGCGGGGACACTAAAGCCCCGAAATCATCTCAAGATAACCTCAAGATAACCACCATTATTGATACCACCACTAATATCACCAACACTCACCACCGTCACTATCACCACCATTACTACCACGCACCTCCAACTTTTGCATGAATGATTCTGGGAGCTCCGTGTTGTTAACCTCGGCCATCTTGTTGAGGATCGTCCTGGCCTCCACGAGACGCCCTTTGGACAGCAGCCACCGGGGGGACTCCGGCAGGAACCTGCACGATGGTGCGGAGAAGTGGCAACGGAAAGTTAGTGGTTTGGTACTGGGGTTAAGACCTATCAACTGTGGGAGGGTCGTTAAGCCTACCACAATAACTTATTGACCAACCAGCAAGTGTACTTAGTCTTGAACATTAAGGAAATTCAGTGAATTTCAGTGAATGAGCGAGGTAGTCTTCACTGTATATTTATTGATTATTTGTATTGCCTAGCCAGATTATTTAGAAAAAACGAAATTAAAATATAATTAGATATAGAATTTATTTTATTATTGGTAGTACTTGATAGTACTATTGATTCTTATTAAGGATTTGATTTAATCCTCACTGGAAATCGACTGATGTTCCAATAGTTTTTTAATTAATTTATTTTTCTTCAAGCTTCTAGATCATTGAGAAATTATGCACAAAGTCACGTAGGCACCATGGGCCCTTTGGTGTACATGATCATTGTGGCACTGTCATGTAGGATCCAGATGATGTAGGACATAATGAATGTGAAGTGATTCTGATATGAATTTGATATGATATAGAAATAAAACATTTCTTAGATAATAATGTTGATAAAACGGGCAACATTTCCCACAGTACTCACCACCAGTAGATGACGTAGGAGAAGAAGGGAAGGGAGGTAACGATGCAGAGGTGGACCCAGTTCCTGACGAAGTACGCCAACACTGCCAGCAGGAGCATCCCTCCCACGTAGAAGAGGCAAGTCATGACAGTGACGAAGCTCCTGTAGCTGGGACCCACCAGCTCCAGTGCTGCTGGCCACAGTCACGCTCAGTAAAGCTAGCCACAGAAGGCCTACTGGCCCATACTATGCAGTCTAATATTATCCCCACAAACTCTGCCGGGATAGGTGGGGATAGGGGACAGTGGGGGGGGGGGGGTTGATGGTTAGAGACTCCATGGTATGGTAGGTGGGAGGAGACTTTAGGGTATAGTAGGTGGAGGAGCTCTAGAATCAACCCGTCCTCTCAAAATATCACCGCTTTTCGCTCGTATGCGCGCTATGACCAAAAACTGATATAAATTGAAATGAAATCGGCTCACGAAAGTGATGTACTGTCCCGTTTTTTGTTTGGGTCCTCCAGCTTAGTCTGTTAGGTTAGGAGAGGACACTTTCAATTAACGTTTTTCATGTCGTTTTGAAACTTTAGTAGAATTTCCTGCCCTCCTAACCTACTAGAGGACCCTTAACTTGCTGTTTTGGAAAAAAAATCCCAAATTTATTTTCATTATTTTTTCATTTTTAAATTACGTCAGTTTTTGGCCATACGGGTAAACGGCTAAATTTAGACGTAATTTGTAAGAGGAAGGTTGCTAGAATATAGAAGAGGAAGAGACTCCGGGTCATATTGGGAGGGATAGACTCCGGGACATGGTAGTGGGGGGAGAGGATAGACTCAGGACATTGTACGTGGGAAGAGAATGTGTCAGTGTGAGGCAAGTTCATAAACTGTGCAAAAGGCTAATTTTTTTGCTGGGTACAACAGTCCATTTCTGTACGTTTCATTGATAGATGTTGTAAGCTCAATAATTTTGCGATGACAGGTAGTTTGATGAATGATAATGCTTCACATGAAGGGAAAATGTACTCACAGATGATGAAGGGAACATGTATTCACAGATAATAAAGAGAACATGTGGTCACAGATGATGAAGGGAACATGTACTCACAGATAATGAAGGGGATCTGGTAGATGGCAGGCACAGTGAGGCCAACCAGGAAGCGGCAGACAGCCCAGGAGTAGAAGTCCGGGGCGAAGGCTGTGACCAGGCCGAAGACCTGCTCCAGCGCCAGACACATCAGGAACGACACCCTCCGGCCCAGTCTGGCGAACACCACAACCACACAGTAATCCAGTGTGTGTGTGTGTGTGTGTGTGTGTGTGTGTGTGTGTGTGTGTGTGTGTGTGTGTGTGTGTGTGTGTGTTGTAGTCTGCTCCACCTTCCTCTCACCTACCCTTACTCATGCCCGTGCCACCTAGTGAGTACTTCATCACTACTCATTGCTCGCTTTCTTCTCCCACTTGGGCTGGACGGTAGAGCGACGATCTCGCATCATGCAGGTCGGCGTTCAATCCCCGACCGTCCAAGTGACTGGGCACCATCCCCACCCCACCCCCCATCCCAAATCCTTATCCTGACCCATTCCTAGTGCTATATAGTCGTAATGGGTTGGCACTTTCCCTTAATAGTTCTCTTCCCTTCCCTCCCTTCTCCAGTCACTACTCTCACCCCCAACTCACCTCCCCCCCCCTCCCTACCTTACATTCCAGTGAAACACTGTTTCAAAAAAAAAAAAAAAATGACACGATCCAGATAACTATACTCAGATTAACCACGTCCTCGCTCTTATTATCACCAACACCTGTTATTACCACCAACACCTGTTATTACCACCAACACCTGTTATTACCACCAACACCTGTTATTACCTCCAACACCTGTTATTACCACCAACACCTGTTATTACCACCAACACCTGTTATTACCACCAACACCTGTTATTACCACCAACACCTGTTATTACCACCAACACCTGTTATTACCACCAACACCTGTTATTACCACCAACACCTGTTATTACCACCAACACCTGTTATTACCACCAACACCTGTTATTACCACCAACACCTGTTATTACCACCAACACCTGTTATTACCACCAACACCTGTTATTACCACCAACACCTGTTATTACCACCAACACAAAGTTTGGAATCGAAAATGGTGTTGTAATGTTACAGCGAAACCACATCTACGTTTTAAATTTAAATTTTGCCCCGAGGGCGAGTTTATTGGGCAGCGCCACGTTCTGTATCGGTAAAGATGGCGTCTGGAGAGTGACCCTCACCCCTCGTCCTGCGCCAGAGAGCTGTCAGTGGTGTCACGGACTCACGGTAGGAGGTTCCACGAGATGCGTCCATCTCCTCAAATGAGAGATGAACTTAAATTGTTGTTTAAAGGCGAGCTTGAATAATTTGTACAAAACTAATGATGTCGGAATAATTGAAGAGGAAGCAAGAATTAGTCCTAGTACTCCAGTACATTTGTTGGAGGCCAGCCTCACCCACAAAGTGGGTCGACTGGCTTATTCATCCGTGTTCATACTGGTTGACTAAGCCCACTACCATACAATAAGATAAGGCCTTCCAATTTTTATTACTAATATATATGTAGTTTAATACTGTAGTGAATGTTAATCAATTTTGACTATATATATATATTAATCCATAAACCCCCCATAATGTGTAAGGAAATCGATTTATGGGCATTCGAAGAAATACAGTCCACATAAACCTCATCCAATTTGTTATCGAAATATATAAATTAACGTAAAATATAAATTCTATATAAATTCATATAAAGCATAAATTCATATAAATTCATTGATCAATCAGGGCAGCCAACCACAGGATAACACCAAAATCAGTCAAATACAGACGATTGGAAGGTCAATACACCTTTGTTCCCATAGCGTCTGAGACGCATGGCCCCTGGGGCAAGAGTGCCTTGGGATTTCTCAAGGAATTGTGCTCCAACCTCATTGACGTCACCAGAGACCCAAGAGCTGCCAGTTTTTTGTTTCAGCGCCTCAGTGTGGCGATCCAGAGGGGAAACGCCTGCTGCATCCTCGGTTCCTGTCCGGAAGCGGAGGAGCTCCAAGAGATCCATAACCTTTAAGCACTCTTTGTATCAACCAATGTATATCTTGTAACCTTCAAATATCTAGTAAAGGATAAAAGGAAGGGGGTGGTAGGAGAAAAGCACACAGAAACTGTATTGGAGGGGACCTTAACATTCCCTCTAATGCGTTATGTGTGGTTTCCTCCGAGGCTAAGGGTCCCCCTTCTTCCAGGCAGAGGTGGTACTCCCCTTCCATTTTTATGTTTTTTATTAAAAAAATCATATAAATTAAATAAATATAAATCTCACTAGTCGGTTCCCCACAAATGACAACCATAAATATTTTATGATTAAATATGCAGGTAACTAGACATGAAACTAGACAGGTAACTAGACAGGCCTCCACCCACTCCCCAGACCCTCCACCCACTGCCCAGGCCTCCTCCCACTCCCCAGACCCTCCACCCACTGCCCAGGCCCTCCACCCACTCCCCAGACCCTCCATTCACTCCCCAGACCCTCCACCAACTCCCCAGACCCTCCACCCAATCCCCAGATCCTCCACCCACTTCCCAGGCCTCCACCCACTCGCCAGGCCTCCATTCAATCCCCAGACCCTCCATTCACTCCCCAGACCCTCCATTCACTCCCCAGACCCTCCACCCACTCGCCAGGCCTCCACCCACTGCCCCTGCCTCCACCCACTGCCCAGGCCTCCACCCACTGCCCCGGCCTCCACCCACTAGGGTCTACTCACCTGTCAGAGACGGTGCCGAAGACGTAGACGCCAATAATGCCGCCCACGTTGAGGAGGGAGAGACCGACGGTCGGGTAGATGGCTCTCTCACACACCAGGTCATACTGTCGGCCACACACATGCTTTAGTATAGGTTGTGCTGGAGCAGGTGTGGTATTGGAGCAGGTGTGGTGTTGGAGCAGGTGTAATTACCTAAGTGTAGTTACAGGATGAGAGCTACGCTCGTTGTGTCCCGTCTTCCCAGGTGTGGTGTTGGAGCAGTGGTGGCAGGTGTGGTGTTGGGGAAGTGCTGGGAGGTGTGGTGTTAGAGCAGTGGTGGTAGGTGCGGTGTTGGAGCAGTGGTGGCAGGTGGGGTGTTGGGGAAGTGGTGGCAGGTGTGGTGTTAGAGCAGTGGTGGCAGGTGTGGTGTTGGGGCAGTGGTGGTAGGTGTGGTGTTGGGGAAGTGGTGGCAGGTGTGGTGTTGGGGAAGTGCTGGGAGGTGTGGTGTTAGAGCAGTGGTGGTAGGTGCGGTGTTGGAGCAGTGGTGGCAGGTGGGGTGTTGGGGAAGTGGTGGCAGGTGTGGTGTTGGGGCAGTGGTGGCAGGTGTGGTGTTGGAGCAGTGGTGGCAGGTGTGGGGTTGGAGCAGTGGTGGCAGGTGTGGTGTTGGAGCAGTGGTGGCAGGTGTGGTGTTGGGGCAGTGGTGGCAAGTGTGGTGTTGGAGCAGTGGTGGCTCTGAGTTCAACACTCAAGTTCAACACAAGCAAGTGTAAGTTGATTGAGTGGATATAACACCAAGACTAACTTTGTAGGCTCATATAAATAGAATAACAACAATAGCATACTCTACACTGACAAAAGTCAGAACATCGTTCAGAACTAAATAAGGAAGCAGTTTGATCACTCAACACCACCGACTTGAGAGCAGTTCTAGAGTATGATGCACATCGTGGAGCCATCTTAAAAACACATAAGAAAGGCAGGAAAGACTCAGCGGTTTGCAATGAAACTCGTTCCGTAAGTTCAAGGGATGTTGAATGAAGAAAGACTGAAGTAAACAGACCCGACGTCACTAGAGAGAGAGAGAGAGAGAGAGAGAGAGAGAGAGAGAGAGAGAGAGAGAGAGAGAGAGAGAGAGAGAGAGAGAGAGAGAGAGAGAGAGAGAGAGAGAGAGAGAGAATAATTTGGAGAATTGAAAAGTGAAAAAAGAAGAGTTCTAAATGAGTACAATAGAATAAGAGGGTATGGATGGAAGTATGTGAATCAGATGAGTCGCAGAGACTTAAAAAGTTGTCTTTTAGTGTAGGTGTGAAATATAATGCACTAAGTAGGTTGTAAAAGCGAACTCCAATCAATATTTCCATAGAAGATATGATAGAAGAATAAGGCATGAATCACTGCATTCGACAACCATCGACTAAAATGGCGGGGTCCAATAGCTAAATCTCAAATCTGCAGGGACACACACACATATATACATTATATATATATATATATATATATATATATATATATATATATATATATATATATATATATATATATATATATATATATATATATATATATATATATATATATATATATATATATATATATATATATATATATATATATATGCAAACAAGTTTGAATGGTCCCCAAGCATATATGCAACTGAAAACTCCACACCCCAGAAGTGACTCGAACCCGTGACAGCCAGGAGCACAATGCAACTGGTGTGAAGTGACTTGAAGTGATTTCATGAAACAACTATGCCCAAGATTACCACCAAGTGCCGTCGGGATGGTGAAATAGCCGCGGGTAACATCGTTTTTTGTACGGTCATGGATGGTCGAGTGGTTAAAATACCGTGTACACCAGTGCTCTTGACTGTCATGGGTTCAAGTCACTTCTAGGGTGTGGAGTTTTCAGTCATATATATATATATATATATATATATATATATATATATATATATATATATATATATATATATATAATATGGGTACATATATGATAGATAATTATAATCTATTCTTCCCTCCCCATCGTACTGTCAGTCAACTCACATCTATGACGATGGAGGAGTAGATGATGGAGGTGTTGTAGTGCCAGCCGCTGGTGCAGGGGGTGACGGGCCAGGAGGGGTCGGGGGCGACGCTCCCCGGCGTGTAGTTCCCCACCAGGTACTGGCTGCACTGGCTGAACCCCGCGCCCACCTGCCGCCACATTAACATTACTAAATGCTACCTACACAAGGCCCATTGATTCATACTATATTTATTCCCAAGAAAACTCATTCATATATATATATATATATATATATATATATATATATATATATATATATATATATATATATATATATATATACAACCTACGCTTGAAACAATACAGGTATCCCAAGCCTATTTTTTTACCCGATAATTTATTCCATGAATCAACAACAGTTTTCATGTCAATATTTACCCAGGTCTTTTCTGAATCTAAACTTATTTCATTTGTATCCTCTGATTCGTGGTATATTTTGTGTGGATATATATTTAACCCATTAGTATACCATTTGTTATATTCTTTCATCCATCTGTACACTTCAAGCATATCACCTCTAATGAACAAATCCACAAGGGCCGTGATGAGAGTTCGAACCTATGTCCGGAATGATCCTACACGCGCCTTCTTTTTACTATGTCGTGGCGCAATCGACTAAGGCGCGTCTGGGATCCCGGACGTAGGTTCGAATCCTCATCACGGCCCTTGTGGATATCTTCATTTGATGTATCACGCTATTGTGATTTCTGTGTGTATATCACCTCTAACTTATCACCTTCACAGAGAGCGGAAATTAAGCTTTCTTAATCTCTCTTCATAAGGGATGTTTCTAATTCCTGGGATTAACTATTTAATCCTTCTCTGAACACGTTCAAGTAAATTTACGTCCAATCTACAGTACAGTGACCAAACCTGAGCTGTATAAACAGTACAGTGACCAAACCTGAGCTGTATAAACAGTACAGTGACCAGACCTGAGCTGTATAAACAGTACAGTGACCAAACCTGAGCTGTATAAACAGTACAGTGACCAAACCTGAGCTGTATAAACAGTACAGTGACCAGACCTGAGCTGTATAAACAGTACAGTGACCAGACCTGAGCTGTATAAACAGTACAGTGACCAAACCTGAGCTGTATAAACAGTACAGTGACCAAACCTGAGCTGTATAAACAGTACAGTGACCAAACCTGAGCTGTATAATCTAAATAGGGCATCCCAAGGTGGAGACAGCCAGGGAGCATCTCACATTTATACGATTTACCATTCGTCAAGGGTGACAGAGCTCGGGGAAAGTCAGACTGGTTATTGCAGGCGAAGTTGTAGAGGGCTGTGGAGGGTTATAGAGGACTGTGGAGGGTTACAGAGGACTGTGGAGGGTTACAGAGGACTGTGAAGGGCTGTGGAGGGTTATAGAGGACTGTGGAGGGTTTTGGAGGGCTATAGAGGGGGGGCCTCGTGCTTATCAGTTTATATACGTGTCTTGCTATTTAACCGACTTACTGGTTCACCCGGCTTCCCACCTCCTTCTCTCGCCATCTTATCAAATACATGGAACATCCCCATGGACACTGAACCCTCTCTCACCAACACTCTTCCTCATTCAACACTCCCTTCCTCATTCAACACTCCCTTCCTCCTTCTCTCCCTCCCTCCCTTTCTCTATTTCTCCTTCCCACTCTATCTGCCATCGCTCCCTCTCACTCTTTCACTCTGAGCGACTAACACTCACCCATGGTATCGAGAGGTTCCTGATCTCCCACTCAGTGAGCCCCAAGCCCTCAAGCTCTGGCACCCTGCACCAGTGGGGAGGCGAGGCGCTCATGAAGAGCTGGTTGAAGGCATGGAAGCCGCACGGGATGCACGCCGGCAGGCAGATGAGGAATATCAGCAGCTTCTGGAACCGCCCGAACTCCCCGACGTGCGGCAGCAGGTCGTCGAAGTCCATGGACTTCTGCAGGAGGGTGAGAAGGGAATAAATGGGCAGGGGATGACTGGTGGAGGTAAGATCAGGATGGGAATGTGTGTTTAAGGCTCCGTTATGCTGCGGCTTCTGGCGTGTAGGTCTCATCGTTTCAACCCGTTCTCGCACTTTCTTACAGTCAATATTGACTTATTAAATACGTGCATATGTGACATACTAAACATACTAGTTTACCTTGAAAAGCTTCGTAGAAAACACCGACCTTACCTAACCTTCTTAGTATGTTAAGATAAGCATCTTATTGCATCGTTTACCGGGAGGAGTATAGTCGATCATTACAATGGTTGTCTTACGTGGATCTCGCTAGCTGATAATACAATGAACACGGGTTCGAATCGCCTTAGAGATGCGTGTTAGGCTTTATTTCAGTTTACCCAACTTTCCTTAGTTTACAGTCTCATAGATACGCTATATGGGAGACTACTCACCCACTGTTAAGACATGAGGTACACCTCTACCTCATACCAGATACAATATACGCCTGACTTTACCTCATAACGGACACAATGTTCGTCTACCTCTCATAATGACGTAAGTGTACTGGTAACACTTGTAAACACTGTCAAGTATCCCGTTGGCCTTAATGTGTACCTTTATTCACGGATGTCTTGGACCTCTACAATAATTATTCCTCCAAGATCCTTCTCACAAGTGAATTTCTGAAAATCCAGGTTCTTGTGTTGATGGTCAGTGCCTCACTCTTATGCCAAGCTAGATAGATAATTTGCACTTGTCAGCTCTGATTATATATGCCAATTTTCAGTCCGGATTTGAAGTGTCGTCAGTTATTATCACTACTTTATTAGTGATGTAGTTATTGAGCTGTAGAGGCTGTAGCTTCCTGCATCGGCGCTGGAACCAATCGTATTGGTGTTTGCCTTTCCCTAGGAGACTTTCGGAATCGTGGAGAGGGGGGACCTGCTGCATGGATAACAGCTTCCCCTTCATATCAACCTACCCAGGCTTTGCGCCCTGGAGAGGCCACTCCAGACCGATAACCAGAGCGCAACTCCATAGTCTCCTGAGACTGGTGAATGTCTACTAATTATTTATGTCATTATTATATTAATAGTTCATGAATTTGTTTATTTTTTGTCGAAATCTATGATGTGTTAAGCCTTTTAGCTTGGTTTATGTGTGTGTGTGTTGTTGTTGTTGTTAGTTTGCTTGCCTGTTTGATGGCTAATGTTGGGATACGTTACCTGAGGCAGGAGGCTACAGGTGACAACTCTCCCAGTCCTGAGCACTCGGTGTAAACTCTGCCAGGAAGAACTGGGTCATGATCTCACACACTGCATCAGTGAACGTCCAGTCATTAGACCCTTCAAATGTTTGCCAGTGCAGGCTACTGATCACATGCTCCTCTGTAATTAACCATCCTCCGAGATGGAATATTTTAGTATCACACAGCTCTTGACACAAACTATGTAACCCTTCATATAGGCTATGGTAGCTTCAGAACTGACCAGGTACCTTAGTATCATACAGCTCTTGACACAAACTATATAACCCTTCATATAGGCTATGGTAGCTTCAGAACTGACCAGGTACCTTAGTATCACACAGCTCTTGACACATATAAGCCTCCACATAATAAGACGTAGCTGTAGAACTGTACTTAAATATGTTAACAAAAAATAAGTTTACCGTTGTCCACAAGTTCATTACCTGAGAGTGATTGGCGCTCTTCAGTTTCCTGAAGGCGTCCCGCCTGGCCCGGGTGCTGGGGCTGGTGGTGGTGGCCGAGTCGACCACTGTGTTCTGCAGAGAGTCCTCGGCCTCCACAGTCGCCCCGCTGGCCTCGCAACCCTTCACCTCCTGCTTCATGGTCGCCCTCTCTCACTGCCCTCCTTCACTCCAGTCACCGAGACCTCGAATTGTTCTTCATTGAAATGTGTGTGTGTGCACGTGAGTTTGTTTTAGCGTGCGCTTGCGTGCGTGTAGTGGATGCTGCAGCTGGGTGACGTCGAACTGACTTCAGCCGTTGGTTCGTTACAGTTGGCTTCCACACTTGTTTTCCCACACAAGTCAATAGTTCACAAGGGAGTATTGGTGTTCACAGCATTGCTAACTTGCTAAGAGAACCAGGCAGTCAAGTCTGCCTCAGCTGGTGACTGTTCACAACACTCTTGCTTACTGTTAGGCTGGTTCACTATTATATATCAGCTCTTCACTAAAGCCAACTATTGGCATTGGATTATAATCTACTTTCAGACATATTTAAAATTAAATAACTTTAATCTTTTGTTACAATACAAAGAAAAACCTGCTTCAAGCACTGATCCGTTAAGATTTAGTAAAGGAAATCTCAAGCGCAAGTTGAAGGTGGAAAAGGTCTTGGCTGGCTCACCTTAAGCGCTAGTTTAACACGCCATGGAACAGTTTGCATTTTGGTGACAAATAATTAACGTGTCAATAAGGAAGCAAGATTAGAAATAGAAAAAAACAGCACAAGTCACAATGAGACAAATTATTATTTTGGCCTTCAATTTTCTGGTTGACATTGGTTAGCCTCGTGTCCACATATATGTCGCCGATATTTGTGCATTTCGTCCAAAGGAAGGTTGCTGTAATTCAATCTGATATTTTTTAAGTTCAAGCCGCGCCAATCCAGGACTGAACAGTCAGTTCTAGAAATCTAAGTGGAACACCGTGTCCACGGCTTCACAGATCCAGTCTAGCGGCGCCCGTCAACGCCTGACCAACACATGCCACACACACACACACACACATATATATGTACACTGACTCTTCACGATCTCCATACATTTCAGGTTAGTTAGCGAAGAGACCCAGCCTCCAGCGTATGAAAAGAGCGGACAGCATAGCCAGTCACAAGGACACTTCCACACGACAATACTCGGGGGTGACGAGAACCACCGTCCTGCGGGTGCTGGAGACAGTGCCACTCTGTCCCCCAGTGGCCGCTGGGGTAGACGTGGGCCGGAGAGGTCGGCACTGTGTCAACAGCTTGACAGTGCTTAGTGCCAGAGCCGGAAACCCTCCAAGTGCAGGGTCCGCTGCACTTGGGGAGGGGGTGAGGGGGGTGTGGGAGGGGGCGATGGGGGTGTGGGAGGGGGCGCTGGGGGTGTGGGAGGGGGCGAGAAGGGTGAGGGAGGGGGCGAGGGGGTGTGAGAGGGGATGAGGGGGTGCGAGAGCGAGCTAGGAGATGGAAAAAACATGGGGGATGTGAGTGTGAGACAGGGAATGGATGGGTAGGAAGATGAGAGAGAGAGAGGAAGGCGAGCCGGTGGTAGTGGGGATGGGTAGCGAGGTGTAGCCAATATTATGACATATTATTTCCATATCAACAACTCCGTGGGCATGGAAGTGACAATTAAATGCCAATGAAGGACTACAGGAGCTGGTTTGGAGGTGCCAACTCTGTACACATTGGGCGTGGATCACTAATTCCTCTGTACTTAGTAGTAGCCAGGGATGGTATATATAAGTACCTACGGGCTCACCATAGCCCGTGCTACTTGGAACTGTTTGTTCCAAGTAGCGAATCTTTAACAACAACAACAGGGATGGTATGAAATTCCAGTTGGGCAGCGATTAGTTGCCTCTGGAATCTTTCGTGAGGGTCTTGGGTCAAGGGTCTCACGCTTGCTGTATAACTTGGGTCAAGGCTTCACGCTTAACCCAAGTTACAGCCTCCCTCCCTGTGCCAGGTAAGTGCACTACGGGCTCACCATAGCCCGTGCTACTTGCAACTTTTGGTTCCGAGTAGGTGAATCTAAAACACCAACAACAACAACCCTGTTGAACCATTCACCATACTGGTCACACTTCTTCACTTATTATTATTATTATTAACATCATTATTGACAAAATTATTTGCAATTTTGCCTAATCTGCATTAAAAGTTCGTCACAGAGTTTGCAATCTGAATATTCTGGTAGTGGCTCAGCCTCACTAACCTGCCAGATGTGCCAAGGCGAAATACTACATCACATTGCCTGGTCCGGTTACTGTGCAGACCAAACAAATACCTATTATTACAAAAGTTCTTATAGCATTGTTTCGTGCCAAAACTTTGAAAAATAATGGTCCCCCAGCTCTAGTTAAATTAAATTGAGACACATTCTAAACAATTCTGACTGTTCCCTCAATCCGCTCCTTACAGTGTGTGGCTCAGTTGTTGTGCCTATAATCTTCAGAAACTGAATGTGTCTCTTAATCCTGATGAAACTGTTCACTATATTCCCCCTTGGAAAGATGTGGAGGGGGTCTCTCTGCATTATACCCCCATCAGTGTAAAACACTGAAATTTTCAGATGTATAACATTAGAAGCTTTGACAGTCATCTTCAAAATCTCAAACTGACTGAATCCTATGCCTTTACTGATGGCTCTGTGCAGTTAGACACTGGTAGAACAGGTTGTGCATGTGCAGTATATAAAGGGGAATGAAATGATCATGTCTAGTACACAGAGATTGAACAACTGGGCAAGCACGACGCAGACTCTTAAACTCTTATCAGGGTTAAGAGACTATTGGGTATTTATCTAGTTATTGAGTACCTTAAGCTCAATGGTGGTGGAGTTATTTTCTGTGACTCTAAAAGTGCTCTGCAGTCCTTAAATAACCCATCACAATGTACGTCGGAAGTAGCTTGTAATATTATATAGAATGTAATTTTTGCTCCGGGTGGGCCCGGGACACTCTACCACTGTGGTGGTAGAGTGTCCACATATCCCAGCTCCTTGTCCCCCATATCACAGTTCCTTGTCCTCATATCCCAGCTCCTTGTCCTCATATCCCAGCTCCTTGTCCTCATATCCCTGCTCCTTGTCCTCATATCCCTGCTCCTTGTCCTCATATCCCTGCTCCTTGTCCTCATTTCCTTGCTCCTTGTCCTCATATCCCAGCTCCTTGTCCTCATATCTCAGCTCCTTGTCCTCATATCCCAGCTCCTTGTCCTCATATCCCAGCTCCTTGTCCTCATATCTCAGCTCTTTGTCCTCATATCCCAGCTCCTTGTCCTCATATCTCAGCGCCTTGTCCTCATAGTCCTTCCAAGTGCTATACTAGCTTAAAGCTTTCTCCTCATAAATTCGCTGAAATGATGAGGTGTTATCTCCGTGAGCGAGAGATGACAGGGGACCTCGCCATAGTTATCACTGGTTATACGGCTTCCTATCACTGCTAAGTCTTCAGGTAACGTCACTGAGGGTTTAACCGTCTGTATGTGGTCGTGTATAGGTTGGTAGGTGTGTGTGTGTGTGTGTGTGTGTGTGTGTGTGTGTGTATGTGTGTGTGTGTGTGTGTGTGTGTGTGTGTGTGTTCGCGCACGCGTTGGTTTATTACATAATATGAATTTGCGTGTGTGTGTGTGTGTTTACGTACATCTTTCATGTACTCATCTATTTATTCCTGCAAAAAATCGAGCTTCAGCTCTTTAATTCCGTTTTCCAGTCGCCAGTTATAAGCCAAAAAATATCCTCCTGACTAAATTTATCCCGTTAGATCCACTTGTAAAGCTGCGGCTGGAGAGAGCTTGCACTTCCTCCTCGTCTGGTCCAAGCCGCTTGTGCACTCTTACACTCACGCATCCCAGTCATGCATCTCGCTGGCTCATCTCTCTCTCCAGCTTCCAGTCACCTTCTCTGTCTTTTATTGATATTTTTTGTGAACATTCACACTTTCCATTGAGCCAGTTTCTTTGTTTCATGCCTCCGCTCTATGTCCCAGCCTCGTTAGCTCTAGTTTATTCAATATTTCTTGACATTTAATCAGGATTAAAGCTTAGTCGAGCCTCATTGCTAACCTCGATATCTTTACAAGTTTCCTTATGGGATTTTAAAAGTGGCAAGTTCATGACTGTGCTGCGTTTAACAGAGTTGGTCTCACGTAGGTGGTTGATCTGTTGTTCACTAGTGTTGGGTATACTGATGATGTAAAACGGCATACTCGGTGTTACATATACTTTGGGACAATATGTCAATTTCCCGAGTCGCTATCATTTCCTAGTTCGACAGTTTTTGGCCTTAGGGAGAGTATACGTCAAAATGCGACGTTTTATTAAGAGGACGGGACGGGGGTGCGGGGGTTCATCTGGGAGCAATTAGTCTAATTAGCTTAATGCCGGGTCCATGGGTACTGATATCTAACCTACATTAAACCTGGACTGGACGGTAGAGCGACGGTCTCGCTTCATGCAGGTCGGCGTTCAATCCCCGACCGTCTAAGTGGTTGGGCACCATTCTTTTCCCCGTCCCATCCCAAATCCTTATCCTCAGTAATTCATTGATTGATAAAGGTTAAGGCACGGGCATGACTAGCCCGTAAACTCTTTATCCTCATCCCTTCCAAGTGCTATATAGTCGTAATGGCTCGGTGCTTCCTCCTGATAATCACTTTACCTTAACCTAACTCAACCCATCCAGTTCCATCCACTCAAACCCAATTCAACCGTGTAATAAAAATCAGCGTGGAAGCCGATCACGAAAATTAAAGACTATAGCGGAGGCGTGACCAAAGGCAAAGACACCAGCGACACCCAATCACTCCCTGTGATTGGGTGTCCCAATCGCAGTGAAGGGAGTGAAAATCTACTTATAAAACCAACAAAAAATTAACTGTGAAGCAAAAGAACTGTCTACTTTATCAGTCCAGAAGGACTGATAAAGATCCCAACCACACGACCACATCCAGACCCCCAGAGACGTCCCAAGACCCTATAAAAAAGACCCAGACACCCTCTCCCCCTAGAAAAGCCTCAGCCCCTTCTAAAAAAGCCCCAGACCACACCTGTCATCACCAAAAGAGAAAGGCAGAGGGGGAATAAAACACGAAAGTAGTGAAAGGTAGTTAATATTGTTAATAACCTGTACTACACCAACATCAAGATTAACAACGGTATATAACATATACACTCTTATAATAATAATAATAATAATAATAATAATAATAATAATAATAATAATAATAATAATAATACACTCTCCTAAAGATAGATCTTGTAGCGCTACTCACCGACCAACCAACGATGTGTTCCCCAAACATTGGAGACTCGTTTGATATTCCAGAAAGTCACATTGGTTAGTTCTATGTAAACATAGTTGATAAGACATGAATCTAGTTTATTTATCTGCTTCGAAAATGGTATAAAAATTACATCATTTTGATTACAATGTATATATATATATATATATATATATATATATATATATATATATATATATATATATATATATATATATATATATATATATATATATGTATAAATTTATATACCACTATGAACATATGTTAACAAATAACGAGAGGACTTGACCATTACTGAGCTAACGTTACTGACGTCTTGGTAACGACTGCATTAGTCAAAATAAATAACAGGTTATCTTAGGAAAACTGAAAGAAAACAGCCCGATAGAAAGATAAGACAAGGTGAGCAGATTGACAGGCAGACTGACGCATATTTATATACGAAATATATCCCCTTATATCTCAGTATGTTGCAGAGGATTCGAGTTATGTTATTGTCTTTTCTAAAGAAAAAAATATAGATCACGTGATCTTAGTCACGTGATCGTCTTGGCGACGATCACAGAGTTTGTTTTTTGTCTTTTTTTCCAGGAGCCACAGCGTAATGATATCTTAGGATGAGACGAGGTGGATTAGAATAGGGTCATTGGGCCCGCTAGGTGGTAGCTTGTTTGCTGGGGTTTAGCGAAACTCATGACGCAGGATTGTGACGTCCCCGAGTACATTTGAGCCTTAAATAATGTCACAATGATATATTACGTCATATTGTTACGTTAAAGTTAACGCTGAGTGATATTACGTAATAATAGCTGCGTCACGCCTGAGTGACGCAGCCCCTGAGTCAGGCGTGATGCAGGAGGTGACGCAGCCCCCGAGTAAGGCGTGACACAGGAGGTGACGCAGCCCCCGAGTAAGGCGTGACGCAGGAGGTGACGCAGCCCCCGAGT